ACCCAGACCCGGGTTCTCCTTCTCCTGGGTCCTCATGTCTTCCAGGAGGAGCTGGATGAGAGTCGGTGTTAAACTGAGCTCATCTGATCCCTGGGTCCATTTCAGCCTCAGTCTCTGAATTCCAGGGTAAATTTATGGAGATTGATTAGATACGTTCGCCTCACTGATCCGAACCGATCCACCTCTGGAGACCTCCTGACGCCTCCTCTCTGTCTGCAGACAGTCGCGGTCAGATAACCGGTCCACACTTATTGCTCCTGATGGATTTTTTTCAATAAACCTGGGCAGCAGCTGGAGGATCTTCCTCTTTAACCCGGTTAGCTATGAAGCTGCTGAATGCTGAGGAGAAGCAGCTGGTTCTGGTTCTGGTTGATCGGATCAATGATGTTGACCCAACATGGTGATGAGATTCTGGTCCGACTCTGACATCTGGAGATTAGAGCATCTCGCCAAACAAGTCATCTTAAGGCTCCTGAAACATAAAATCAGTTCAGTCCAATCAGAGACAGATTCCTAGTCCGGCTCATCCGTTCCCGGTCATCAAGTCCAACAGCTAGAGTCTAGCATTCATTGTGTTGCTGATTCTGCAGCAATCCCTACCAGCAAGCAAGCATGCAGCGACAGTGGAGAGGAAAAACTGCCTATTAACAGGATGGTAAAAATGAAAAGGGGGATCAGAGGTCTGCAGCTGCAGGTGATTCTTTGGGTTTTCGAGCTGCTTTGGACAAAATACATTCTAATGGTTATATTTTATATCAGAATTAAAAAAATATTCTAGGTGTTTTAAAGTCGCAGGGAAGCGGCTGTTCCAACCGTTATATTTCCGAAATCTCCCAAGTGGTGCCCGACTTTACACAAGTGATAAAGTGAATGTGATTGGTCGGTTATGAAGGGGGTGGGATTGATTGTGGCCGGTTTGTGGGAAGCATCTTGCTAACCAGTTAGCATCTTAGTGCTAGCAGGTTCCCAATGGGAAATTCCATTGGGACCAAGTAGCACTAAATTGGT